GCTGACCTCTGTATTATGAGGCTTCCTTCCCTCTGGCTTCTTGCTGTGCTGAGCCAACAGGAGGCCCTGGCAGAAGCTCAGAGGGCAGAAGGCAAATGAGAGGGGCTGGTAATTATTCCCCCAGCTGCCTCCCTGTGGGGTCGCGGGAGTGTCTACCCCTCTCCCAAATCCACAGCTTCTGCCAGAGCCCTCCCCCCAGCTCCAGCCATCTCTCTGAACTCCAGCCATCTCTCAGCTCCCCCCTACCCTTTCAGGCCTAAGGTCACAAAGCCCCATACGGCTGGCCCAGAGCCCTACACCTCCCGTGTGGGTTTCCCTTAGCCTCTCCCACACTTGAGTAAAGAGTCTCTTATGAAACCTTCCTCTCAAACACCACGTGAGTGTCCCACACAGGCAGTCTACTCTATATACTTTCCACTTGAAAATCAAGAAATGAATTCTCCCTCTCATTACTGTCCTGTCCCCAGAAGAACAGACATCCTCTTTGCCTTTCATTAGACTACAGGCTCCCCAGGCTGTGAAGTCAGACTGTTCGTTACTGTTCTCCACTTTCTACCTGAGTGCCTTCACCTGTAAAAGGCAGGTAATAATAGTACCCTGTGTGCCGTTGGTGTGAGAACTGAATGAGCTGTAAAGCCCTCACCACAGGGCCCAGGCTTAACTGATGCTGGATAAATGCATTTTCATCTAAGCCAGAATGTTATTCCAATGCAAACGACCCTGCATAGCCAGGGCACTTTGTGTCGCTGTCTGGCCACCTTGGTCGTGTCCCTGGTAACTCCACTTCAGATTTGGTTCGAGCACGGGGTTGGTGTTTGGGGTGGTGACTAAGTGGAACATATGCCCAGAAGGGAGCCATCCTCTATCCCAGGTCAGCTGGCTCCATCTCAGCACTGAGAAGTAGGGGACCTCTGCTCCATCTTAGTGGGGTCACATACCAACTATCCATGAGGCATCTGGAAAAACCCAGCCATTCATGGAAAGAGGGCACATTAACACACCAGCACCCATTCAGTTTATTTCACCTGTTGGGTCTTCCGACCTCATGGGCAGCCAGCGCCAGGAAAATGGAACAGACACTAGGAATGTTGTTTGATGTGGGGAGAGTCCAGAGGAACAGAAGTGTGAGGCTAGGTGGGTGGCCTGAGCTCTGGGGAAGGACTGAACCCCCTTAGTTCTGGTTCAGTCCCTCAGAACAGGGGATTAATTATGCTTCTGCAGCCCACCTCCTGGGCCTCTGGTGAGAATCCACTTCAATAACCAAGGAGAACAAATTCTGCAAAACAACATGATGGAGTCAGGATTTTCCTTAGGGAATGTCTGAATGCCTTTCATTTTTTTAAATGCTAAGACTCAGAGCCTCAGGTCTAACAAGTGTTTCAAAGACCTATGAAATGTTTAAGGATTGAAAACCCATCATAGGCTGCAAATTACGGAAACAGCAAAATCAAACTTGATGATTAATTTATATAATCATTCATTAATTGTTTCTTTAAAGGTGAAAAATACAGAAGTTGACAAAGAGTTAGGTTGAAAACCAAATAATTTGTCAGTTGCCCCTGCAGGGACAAGGACTTTGGACATGAACTTCAATGGGACAGACAATTCTTAAAGTCATGAGGCCAAGGTCACTATCGGCTGATTAGCATCTTCTGGCTTTTCCAGTCCTGTTTTCCTCCAATTCACTCCCCTGAATCAAGAAAAAGCAGATATTTTCCAAACCCACACCTCACAAATGCCAGGGAATTTTTTTTTTAATGCTCAATCTCCATCATTGTCAAAGTCTATTTTTCAAGTCCCTTTAATTAGAAAAATCTTTGTATCTTGAGGTGCTGAATCCCTGTGGGCCATCTGTCTCCTCTCGGTGTGTGTGCAGGGCTTGGTCCCTCATACCCGAGCCCCTAACAGTCCCATCGGGTCCTAGTGGACCCCACCCCAGTCTCCCTGCAGCAAAGGAGTGTTTCTGCTGGCCTCCCTCTCAAGCTCCTTTGTTCAAACAACCCAGTCACTTGAATGCTTTATTTTATCCAACACATTGACTAGTTAATGATACTTGCAACAAAGCTTGTAGTTATTAAACCATTTGAGTGAGCTCCCCAAAGACAGGTAACAATCCAATTGAAAGCCAAACTTCCTATGGCTCTTTTTAAAAGAAAAACTGGGTCTGAAGGAGAACAAAAATGATTCGACTATGTCACAGGAAGAATCCAACTCAGCATGAGAAAGGAAACGTGTTCTTTTTAATGAGGTGAGGCCCTCTGTCTGAATATTGAAAATCTAGTTGATGGAGAGCAAATTATCCAGTTTGGGCACAGAGCAGCATAGTGCCTTAATTAGGCGCTACAGCAAGATCCTGGAGGCTCCTGACACAAATGGAACAGAAGAGTGCCTCCCCCCTTCTGCTTGGTTCATTTCCACCTCCACGGAGCCCAGCCTCTCTGGGTACTTGGGACCACAGTGGTGGCAGTCAGCAGAGGGGCAGAGCCTCTGGGCTACAGCTGAGCTGAGTGACCCAGAGGAAGACTTCACAGAAACAGAGCACCAAGATCTCCATGTGGGGTCAGACCTGAAGGGCTGCCTCCGTATCCCTCGCTGGTGTTGACCAAGTGAAATGAATTAGGCAGCTTTGCTAAACTCGAAAATGACAGAGTTCCTCCTATGTAGATCTCTCTGTGCCACCAGAATGGTGCCCATGAATGTCCTCGCTGATGCTCTGAAGAGTATCAACAATGCCGAAGAGAGAGGCAAACGCCAGGTTCTTACTAGGCCGTGCTCCAAAGTCATGATCTGGTTTCCAACTGTGATGATGAAGCCTGGTTACATTGGTGAATTTGAAATCATTGATGACCACAGAGCTGGGGAAATTGTGAACCTCACAGGCAGTTGGACAAGTGCGGAGTCATCAGCCCCAGATTGAGGTGCAGCTCAAAGATCTAGAAAAATGGCAGAACAGCCTGCTTCCATCCCATCAGCTTGGTTTCACTGCACTGGCAGCCTCCGCAGGCATCATGGACCATGAGGAAGCAAGACGCACACACACGGGAGGGAAGATCCTGGGCTCTTTTTCTGGGGATGTAATACATATGTGCAAATAACATGCCTCAAATGGACAAAAAAAATAAATGAGTTTTATTCAGAGGTCTTAGGATTTGCAAATCAAAACTACCACCAGGTAACACCCAGAGTAGTCTGAAGAAAAAAGCTGAGGGTTCTTGTAGTAAAAAGCACATCATTGGCAAGAGTCAGTCCTGCTTAGCCTCGGGGTTGGTCTGAGATGGTGATCTTCCAGGTGGCCAGTGGTCTAAATAATGGATGTCAGGTGGTCTGGACACTTGAACACTCTTTCCAAACCCTTCAGAGGGTAATCTACAGGAATTTATATATCCCCAGGCATTGCTGCACAACTGAAAAGTTCAGACTTTTAAGTCCTCAGGCTAAAGCAGAATAAAATCATTTCCTGGTGCTTTGGCACATTTGGTCTGAACCAGTTTTGCCAGCTTGACTGTACAGACTCCACCGTAAGCCAGCTCAGCTCTACCAACTCCATCTGGTTTTCTTCACTCCCTCTTTACCGGGCCAGCATGAAGGGGACAGGAATGGGGTGGACATCCACCTCCAACTCTGCTGATTCAGAGCTGAGGAGAAATATTCTGGAAACGCAGCTTGGATCTATCTGTTGCAATGTATGTTCACCCTCAGAAATAGAATTTGCAAGTCAGCATCCTCCCCCACCCTCCACCCCCCGAGAGATGACATACTGTGTTCAGGTCGCACCAACTAAACAAAGGCCAGTTCATGTTTCTGTCAGTTCTCTGTTTGGACTTTAGGACCCTCACGGGACCTTAAATCAAACAAAAATAATTTTGGGGACTACAGTTTTTTTAAGGGAATTCTATTTCCAATTCCATGACAGTCACTCTTAAGATCCACCTTTTCGCCCGGCCGGGCGTGGCTCAGCGGCTGAGCATCCACTTAGGGTCTAGGAGATCGTGGTTCGATTCCCGGTCAGGGCACGTGCCCGGGTTGCGGGCTCAATCCCCAGCTGGGGGTGTGCAGGAAGCAGCCGATCAATGACTCTCTCATGACTGATGTTTCTCTCTCTCCCTTCCTCTCTCTGAAATCAATAAAAGATATATTTTAAAAAAAAAAAAAAAAAAGATCTGCCTTTTGAGACAAGGGACAGACACTAGAGCCTGTTCACCAACGGGGTGGGTACTCGCACGGTGGCACGTATTCCTTCTTCATTCTCTACACCCCCTGCAGACACATGCACAGCCTCCCCGGCTGTCAACATTCCCCACCAGGGAGGTGAATGCCACCACCGATGAACCTGCACCCACACACCACCACCCAGGGTCCACATTCCCCGCGGACTTGCGTGTTCAAACAAGCTTCTTCGTGGCCTTTATACCTCACAGCTCCTTGCCAGCTAGTTCCATGTTCGTCTTTGGCAACAGTCTAGCACTTGAAGGGCACTCAAGGGGAGAGGGGCAGAACACACGTCACTTCCAGCTTCTGGCCCCACTTTTTGTTCACCCGGGGAGCCCAGCAGACCTCGAGGGTTCCAGGACATCTCTGCACCGTGAAGTCCAGGTCCCGCCTTGGGATCGGGGAGGCTCTCCTAAGTCCTCTGTTCCTTCACTGTCCCATCTGAGGGGAAGCTGCTAATTCACTATATTAATTCTCCCTTTTCTGTCTCCTGATAGGCCAGAGCATCTTCATAAAATGCAAACGCCCTATGTAAAGAGCGCCTGCATCCTGCTGGTCAAGAGTTTCCAATGATTAAAGAAAAGGGCTGCCAGTTTTAAGCTGCCCATCTCCCTCCCTACTCTGTAGCTTCCAAATAGATTGTTTTACTCAAATGGATCATTTACTAGTAGGAGAGATTAGCCTTGAAGGTTCTTACAAGGACACAGTGAAGAGCAATTACTAAATAGGCCCCCCGGACGCACTGGTCACACTCAGTCTCCCTTACCAGAAAAACTCACACAATGTGGGCATGTGGTTAATGACAAGTTGTAATTGATGCCAAGGTTTTAAAAAGCACTTCTGACATTAAAATGTGTTTTTCTCTGTGTTAATGGCATGTCTTCTGAGTTTTCTGTTTGAGGTTTTTTTAAATTTTCCTCTTTAGAACAAAGAAATCCGCAAGTCCTATCATGCCATTCTTTCTAGTGTTTCTAAAATGGAAACAGATAAACACACTTAGTAATTTCTCACAACACACAATACAAATTTTATGAAACAATATGATTTAGTATAATTTAATTTAAATTTAATTTAAATGCAATATAATTTAAAAGTTTTAGCTTCAAAATTAATTATTTATGGTCTCTAATCAATAATTTCTATCTCAAAAATTAAAGCATTGTATTTTTTGTACAAAAATGAGCATTTATTTCTAGGTGAAAAAATCAGTACTATATTTAAAGATTTTTCTTTATTGACAACTTCAGATTTTAGTCACTAGTTAACAAAAGTACCCTTCCATTTAAAAAGTTGGCCAGGTGAAATTCAAAGACTGTCTTAAGTCTATGAAACTTTCGCACTGACAATAGTATCTTTTGGTTTTTCTCTTTATCTACAGATACTTTTATTTCTTAAAAAATGGTGAACATGAGTAAACTTCTGTCAACATCAGTAGATGTGCTGTAAAAACACTGACCTCTGACAACGTTGATTTTCAGTGTCAGTGGGGAAAGTGAGATGACTTTAGAGCTCATATTTAAAAACAAAAGGGGGCACAAGTTAGTAGTGGTTCTAAGCTATATTTCACTGTTAAAAGCGACCATCCCTCACAGGTCCAGGGGAGTTACACTGTGGCCGCCTAAAGAAGAGTGGAATGCTGGGGAAAGACACCTGTCACCTGACCCCTTGCTGCCCTCAAGCTGCAGGAGAATGGAGGCCACTGGAGCTCATGTCCACAGCTGGGGAAGAACCGTTAACCAAGTGAAGAAAAAATATCTGCGAGCAGAATTTTATTTGGACTTTCACCTTAGTAGAGTCCCGTGGCTTGAGAACATACTTTGCCATGAACACACCAGACCAGGGTCCTTCTGGCAACAAAGAGGGGCTGCTCTAACCTTCCAGGGCCTTCCCAAGCCTCCCAGTAGGTCCTGGCAACGCTACCCCATGGTCACTCCCCAGGAATCTCATCAGCCAGTGCTCCCAGTTGTCCGCCCAGCCAGGAGGAGGAAGCCAGTGCTATCCCAGGGCAGGCAAGTGAAGGGAGCTCTCCATGAGGATGGGGACTGCTCCCACCACTTAAGAGGAGGGAAGTGGCAGAGGGGATGGACCCCAAGTCAGATGTGGGAGGCTGACAGGTCTGGTGGTAGGATGATGCCAGTCCTCCTCTTGTGGCTTGTCACTGGTGTGAAGGGTGGGCTGGAGGCATTGGTGACATGCTGGGCAGGGTGCAAATGCCTCTGGCAATGCCCTGTGCTGCAGGCTGGGCTGCGTCTGCTGAGGGCCTGGGGGTGGCCCCAGGAAGGCAGGAGTGGCTGTGGGATGGGTGTGGGGTGAGGGGGCTCAGGGAGGACTGAAGGAACCGTGGCTGCAGAGGAAGAGACAAGAGAGAGATCCGAGAGGGCAGTGTTGGGCCATGCAAGGGCCAGACGGTGTCAGGAGTGACATGGAGAGGAACAGAGTACCCGAAGAGTCACAGGGAGTGGTTAGAAAGCTGGTGGATGACAGACTAGAGGAAAGACAGTGGACTATGGAGTCTGGAGGCACAGTCAGGTGGCAGGGGCCTCAGAGGGGATGCGATTTTGAAGGACGGAGCAAAGAGAATGGCTTGGAAGGGACAAGGAGTGAGGGCTGTGGGGGCAACCAGGGTTCTGTAGGGCGGGAAGCAAGACAGGAGTTGGTCCTGGGCCCACTCTAGTATCCCAGACGTGGAAGGTTAGGGAGAGTAGGAAGAGACGAACATCTGGGCGGTGATGATGGGCCTGCCAGGTAGGGCTTCTCAGCAGCCCAAGGGGACGTCTCCTCCTAGTCCAGGCCCCAGCCCCGGGCTCTCTCATCCTCACAGCCCTCAAGCCCGCTGGCTGTCTGGGTATCTGTGCGTGTGCTGTCCCCAGGATTGCAACTCCATGGGCCCAGGGTGATCTGATCCATAAACTGCTTCCCTGGCACAGAGTAGGCACTGCATGAACATGTGCTGGGGACATACAGCTTCTAGATGGCAGGTGTGAGGCTTGGGGACAACACCTCACACAGGCACTTGGGGGTGGTGGCTCAGGAGGTGCAAGAAGGCCTCGATCAGTCAGTCTCAGTCAGTCTCTCTCTCTCTCTCTCTCTCCCTCTCTCTCTCTCTCTCTCTCCCTGCTGAAAGCCTGTGGGAGCCAGGCTCCATCCTGCCTCACCCAGAGCCCCCTCCTCTATAATCACCAGGCTTCCTGGCCCTAAGCTAATGAGGGGCATCGACACCACCCTCAGGGAGCCTCCTCTGCGGAGCCACAATCCCAGGTGGGGGGTGCCACCACTGCTCCCCAGGCTGCTCTTCCTCTGCACCCCCCAGGTAGCAGAGTTTGGGGCACAGTCAACACCCGACAGATGTGTAAGGAACAGAGAATGAAACTGTCCATGGCTGCAGTCATGTCCCGCACCTGCAGAAATCCATTTCTGTGTTTCATTGTTGAGGAATGAATTCTTTCTTATTTTCTAACATGCTATTATTTTTAACCATTTGACATACTGTACTTAAGAATTGAGAGAAATTTGGATAAACTTTTCTTAAAGACAGGATAAATGTTCTCCCTCTGAAGTGTGAAGAGAACTGAACTTAACCCCCACACTACCCCGGATCCCCCAGAAGGAAAGCTGCCTCCTGCTATAGCTTCCTTAACGCAACCTGGAGACATCTCATCCCGGTGTGGGAGCCTCTCCCTCCTGTCACAGCAGGGTGAGCTGGGGCCACGGTATCAAAGATGCATCAGAGGTGCAGGGTGAGGGGGAGAAAGCTCCCTCGGGGTCGGTGCGCCCTCGTGCCGGGGAGCGGCTATACTCACATGTTCTCCTTCAGAGAGGTGAGGTAGGATTCCGTGTCGGAAACGGAAAGATCCGAGTCTAGTCTGGACAGGTACTGGTAGACGTAGGAAAAAGTCTTAAAGGGGATTCGCGCAGGACCCCCCTCCGGATCTTGGGTCAGGATCTCGCACAGGTGCTTCATCACAGTATTCAAGGACTAGAAACATCACAAACAGGGGCAGGGGGGACAATTACTGCTTGAAATTGCTAAAATCAGAAGCAAAGATACCAGCAGAAAAGACACTTGATTATATTTTACAGAAATTCTCCCAAAAGTACAGTATGTTCTTGATCTAAATTAAGAACTGGGTGAATGTATACTTGACATAAAAGGGGGGGTAAGGGGGGATGGAGAGGGTAAATGGGGGAAAAGGGGGACATCTGTAATACTTTCAACAATAAAGATAAATTTTTTTTTAAAAGAATTAAAAAGCAAAGGTCTCATCAGGATGCAAGTGGTCTGAAAATATTTTTAATCCACAGGTTTTATATCAAAATGGGAATGAATTTTTTTTTAAAGAGTTCTGTAACTGAGCTTTTAAAAAGTCTTTTATTGATTTTAGAGAGAGGAGGGGAGAGGGAGAGAGAGAAACATTAATGAGAATCACTGACCAGCAGCCTCTCGCATGCCCCCCACTGGGGATTGAGCCGGAAACCTAAACATGTGCCCTGACCAGGAATGGAACCAGCGACCTCCCGGTGCATGGGACGATGCTCTACCAACTGACCTCCTTAAAGACACACTTCTTAAGCCAATGTAGAGTCCTCAGTCTCCTTGGACCCTTTGGCTAGGATGAAGCAAACTATTATCGACTAGAGGTGCCATCTGTGGAAGGGGGTGTTGGCAGGGTCCAGCTGATGCCCACCTGCCCATTGGGCTCTGTACAGGGCCTGCCCTTGCTCTGGCCTTGTCTCAATTCTGGAAAACACAACACCCCCCTCCCCGGCACACTATGCATCTCGCTCATGCTCCCTCCCTCTGCTTGTATCGGTCATTCTCACCCCACCCTGGCAGACATTCTCAACTTTCAGCCCAAATGCCCATCTTCCGGGAAGCCTTCCACCTACACCACTAAGCCTCCAGAGCATGTGACCTGTCCACCCTCCCCTTCAAGCCATTCAAGCCATGACCAAATAAGGAGATGCATTGGGGGTTGGGAGCCATCGCCTGTGTTGAAGACTAGGGCTGGTTTCAGTACTAGAATTGTCCCAACCCTGGTGGCTTCACAAGAGCACCTTGGAGAAGCAGCAGGGTCCAGCCTGCGTACGCAGAGCTTGGCAGCAGAGTGCAGCAGTGGCTCCTGAGACCTGGCTGCTAAATTTCCAGGAGTTTGGTGAGATGGTTGATCATATGTTGGTAAGTTGAACTCAGCCATGGAGGTAGCAGTTACACCACATTCATGGGCAAACGCTGCAAACTGGGGCCTTCCTCCCAGGGAAGCTCCTGAGGGAAGACTCTGGGCTGCACTTAGAAAGAGCAAGAAGAAAACCAGTGCAATGGGCACGAAGGGCAGTCCCGGGGGGAAGCCGCAGGTGGAGGGAAGGTCACACAGACCTGCTGGACTGGAGCAGTGACTCTGGGGACAGCACTCTGACGTCCTCGGGGGACATGCAAAGGGCTGGAGCCAGGTCTTTTTTTTAATCTTCACCCGAGGTTATATTTTCTGTTGCTTTTCAGAGAGAATGGAAGGGAGAGAGAGAGACATCGATGTGAGAGAGATACATCGATTGGTTGCCTCCCGCTGGGGACAGAGCCTGCAACCGAGGTACGTGCCCTCAGCCAGAATCGAACCAGAGACCTTTCAGTCCAGGGACCAACACTCTAACCACTGAGCCTAAAAGGCCAGGGCCTTTTCTTAAAAAAAAAAAAGCAAAAAACCACACATTATCTGCCAGTTTCTGTGAGTCAGGAGACCAGGCACAGCTTAGCTGGTCCTCCTGTCGGGCTCGTCCAGGTGTGAGCCAGGCCTGGTTTTCGTCCAGAGGCCCCAGTGCTGAGAGAACTGCAGCCTCACTGGGTGTTGGCAGAACTCATCTCCTTGCTGCTGAGGGACTGACGGGCCTCACTTCTGGCTCGTGTTGGCTAGCAGCCACCCTCAGCTCCTAAGGCCGCCTGCAGGTCCTGGACATATGGCCCTCTCACACCATGCAGCTTGTTTCTCCAACACTCCGGGAGCTCAACCATGTTCTCACAGGAAACATGTGAGAAAATCACCTGTGCTTTCGGCAGGGGGAGCAGAAAAGGCGCAACAGAAGTGAGGCTCTTGCTCAGAATGCACGTCTGAGAGCCCGATGGCATATCCTTTCCTCCTCGGTCATCACGTGAGATGAGGACAGTGGGGCCCAGAGAGGCTGTTACTTGCCTACGGTGAGCCAGCTGGGACCAGAAGCAGGCAGTGCTGACCAGCACATTCCACCTCACTGACCCAGGCAGGGAGTGATGGGCAGACACACTGCCACATTCCCAGGATTCCAGGCACTGGGCCTAAGGAGATGAAGGCCTGAGAGAGCGGCTCCCCCATGGCCGACAGCTGGGACCCATGCTGGCCGCTGGCCGGCAGGGACGGAATGCTGGGTGTAGAGCAGTCCCCACGATGCTCCAGCGGAAGGGTCCCTTGTTTTCTGCACTTCCCTGAGAGGACCTGGTAAAACTGAAGTGTTGCACAATACATGTTTCTTGCTTGAAACTTTGCAAAGACATTATGTTGGATCTTGCTTTTATATCTGACCCAAGTGGAAGGAGGTCCTGCCGCCAAGTGTGAGAGCCCAGCAAGGACGACAGGAAGCAGCAGCTGGCGAGGAGCAGGCAGATGAGGTCTGTGTTATGGGAGGTATTTAAGGAAAAAATACATCAAAACATTCTAGCATCGATGTCTCCTGCAAACGTGTGATGACAGTGTTAACAGTTCTGACAGTAAGATTTGCAGTAAAGAATTCATAAAGCAACTTGCATGGTTTTGCACTGTGAGTTGTTTCCTATAAACGGATTTCTCAACTCCAAAAAACGGGAGGTAGTCAGGCTGCTTGCTCACTGCCTTGGCAGGCGGCCCCCTCTTCCCTCCTGCCGTGGCGGGTTCACTCTTGGGTACCTAAGCCTTCCCGGGTGGGGGGGACTGGCATGCTCACTTTGTTTTTAGCCAAGCGCTGAGTCTGAGCCCTCATCTGACATGTGAGAAACACGGCGTGGAGGCACCTGTATTTCCTGAGCATCTTCCATGTGCCAGTTCTGTGAAATTTTTCAGTCTCAGAATTTTAGCTGCTATCATGACGACACACAGAGCCACCTCACACACACCCCCCCAAGGGTCCCTTTTATCAAGCATGGAAATAGAAATGAGAACAATACTTTGACCCCTTCAGATAGAATAAGAACAGAGAAGTTCTTGCTTCCTGAGGGGTGGCCTGATGTGCTCAGGAGGCCGACAGACTTAATATCAAACAGTGGAATTAACCCCAATCTCATTTTTAGAAAGCCTGCCAGTCTTTACATCTCATTTTCTTATCCTCACAAGATTTCTCATTTAAAATTCGGTTCTGGGGCTTGCAGGAGGTGAGGTTGGGAGACCCGCATTCTCCAGGTGGCTGGGACACGATCCCAGAGTGAAGCCAGCCTGTTCAGGCCCGCACTGCCCTTGGCATTGCCCAGGAGAGGGATGAAGAGGCCACGATGTCCAGCATCTGCTGACGTGTCGACTGTCCAGTGGAAAGCACACCCCACCTTCTCTCCTCTTCGCCACAGAGGAAGAGACTCAGACCCAGTAATGGGGTAAGTGGTGCTGGGGGCAGGGGAGCCTAGAAACCCAAGAGCAGCCCCTTCTTCTGGGGGAGCAGTTACCAAACACCTCTGGGCTGTAGGCCCTCACTTATGGGGGCAGTTGTATTTTGTCACTGGCCTAGGGGGGTAAAGGAATCTTCTTGGCCATCGCAGAAGAGGCTTCAGAGGCCAACTGGGGAAACCTGAATGGAAGGCAATGGGGAAGACAGGACACTGTCTCCACCACAAGGACAGGTGACACCATCAGTGATCCTAAGCATTAAAGCAGATCAAAATTTTTTTGTTTTGTTTTTTTAAGCATGGGGATCATTTTTTGAGCTTCAAAAAATTGCAAACCAAGTCCCCCATTTCTCACTGACCAAGAAAGTCCATGATGACTTTATAGGAGCATTGATGGTGCTGCAGACAGGTAAAGACACAGGTTGTGACATATATATGTGATCATTTGGCCAGGTGAGCGTACCAGGCACTGGGGAAGGGGAAAGGAATCACTATCACTACTGCACGCACACCTGCACCCGACCTGCCTGGGGCAGCCCACGAGGTCCTTGACCCCCACCTGCGGCTTTCAGCACAATGACCAGAGCAGAGCTCAGAGCTTGAGGAGATAATAGCGGTCCGCTCCCAGGGCGCAGGACTTTGACCTCTTTTGTGGACTCTGGAATCACCAGCACCCAGAGCAGGGCCCAGCACAAAGCGCTGCTTCATACACATTTATGGAGGAATGAAGGAATGGGCTCTAGTCTTTATAGAGCCTTAAATTCTTTTCATCTGCTGGAGTGACTTTTAAGAGATTTCAGAGCACGGAGAATGTATCAGCCACGCACCAGGCAGGTGCCATGGACGCAGGAGCAGGAAGAGCGCCCACCGTGGAAGCAGAGACAAGATTCCAGCTTTACAGAAACCCTCAGCGCAAGAGGCAGCAGTCCTTCTAAACTGCTCATTCACCTCGCTTCGCTTCTCCATTCCCTCCGTTTCAAAGGTGTTTTTTTAAAGCATAAAGATAAATGCTAAGATGCCAAACTACACCAAGAATCGTCTCCTGGAAGTCACAGCTTCAAGTTAGAGCACCTTCAAGCCACCCGCCAACAGGGGACAGTGGCATCAGTAGGCAAATCTCCGCATCCACACGGGAGCTGGCTCCCAGGGCATCCCTGCCCTGCAGCCCGGGCGCCAATGCTGTTAACTGAGGCCCTGCAGCTTGTGGGCCGGGGCAGGCCCAGGCGGAGCCAGCAGCCCCCCACCACCCTGAGTCTTGCACACCTGACCCTCGTCCTGGCAGACAGCTGTGGCCATGGCTTCCCACAGCAGGAAGGGGCCCAGAGAGAGGCAAGGCCAGGGCCAACAGCAAACACTCCCGCAGAGGTGGCTTAGTCAAGGGACAGAGCTAGACCCCACATAACCTACCGCAGGAAGAAGAGAGGCTGTGTGCTGTTTCCTGTCCCTTCACGCAGTTTAGAAGCTGAGGCTCCATCCTCAACAACGCCTCCATCTAGCGCCACGCTACAGCTGGATAAGAGCCTCATCTTCCAAAACAGATTCCTATGGTTTTAAATCCAGTGCTTCACTTTCACCAGTAGGAAGACAGAATTACAAAGGTGGATCCCAAAATATGAAATATTCTGCTTTCTCATTATTAAAATCTAAATTTTACAACTAAGTTTAGAGGCACAAACATTAATTAAAACATTAATTCAAATATTCCATATTAACTTTGTATCTTGATTTCACAGAGTTCTAGAGGAACAAAGCTACGTGAAATTTTCTCCAGTAATTAAATTTACTCGTCTTGGCCTTCCCTGTAACACCCCACTGAGCCACTCCTCTCCCAGTGACACCTGAGCCGGTCTTTCCTACTTGATCAACCAGGGTCTAGCCCTCAGCATCGATAGCCCAGGGCTGACCCCCCTCTCTGCGGCTGACAGAAACACGGCCTTTGGGCAGTTACACAACAGAAGCAAACATTAGGCAGCCACCAGCCCGACACCTGAGCTTCCTGGGCTTTCAGGGTTTCTCGCTGGGGCCATTAATGGGCAGTAAACTGCAGTGTCCCCCCACAGTGGGCATTAAACATCAGAGGAGATGATCTGCAGCAGTCTGTAATGATACAGATGAACAAATGCGGAAATCTAATTGGGAATGAAAAAAGATTCCAGAAGATTAACAACAACACAATTATCTTTTCATAAAGATAAAACCAACTGCAATTAAATAAGGTATTTCTCAGGGCCTGTATGTGATAACAGGGAAGGGTGAGATTCAGGAGAGCTGGCTTCAGGTGAGGTAGGTTACTGTCAGTTAGTGATCATGTCAGGTAATATTACATAAAGTACTTTTTAAAAGTCAAAACTGGCCCAGCCAGGCGTGGCTCAGCGGTTGAGCATCAACCCAGGATCCAGGCGATTGGGGTTGGACTCCCGGTCAGGACACATGCCCAGGTTGCGGCTCGATCCCCAGTCGGGGACACGCAGGAGGCAGCCGATCAATGACTCTCTCATCATTGATGTTTCTATCTCTCTCCCTCCCTCTCCTTCCTTCCCTCTGAAATCAATAAAGGTATATTTAAAATAAAATTAAAATTAAAACTGAATCCGAGAGGCTCAAGCATGGCCCCAAGGTGATTGTGCACCATTAAGTAAGGGATATGAATTATCCGGTTATGTACTCTGGGGTCCAAAGACTGAAGTGAGGGGAAAAAAAAAAATTGCTCATCTCTCAGTAAAGCAAATTCTCTGTTCTCAACCTCCTCTCTTAAGAGCTTAAAGTGGTAACTGTCCCTTCACTCGACCTGTGTCTCACAAATTGACTCAAACACGTGAGCTGAAGAGACTCTGGACTTCCACAGGGAGTCCTGCCAATGTCCTCCCAGCTCCAGCCC